AAGAACAACTGAAAGAGCCACACTTTAATTTTGTACCCACGGCTTTAGTGAAAGTAGTGAATCCATTGCTGGCTAAGTACCCTCGGCTTTTGAAAGTCTTAAGACAAAGACTGAACTGAAACAGATTCACTACTTCACTACTAGTACAAAAAGTCTTTAAGACTATAAATTGGATGGAGAAAGTGACAAACGGTTAAGATAAGTCTTGAGGGCAAAGACTTGTTATTGCTTGATAACAAAGGAAGTTTGGGGATGCGAAATAAAACACAGAACAACTGAAAGAGACTAGGCTTATGAGAAAGTCTTTAAGACAAAGAGAAACAACTGAAAGAGTCTTTGGTACCCACGGCTTTTTGTGGAAGTAGTGGATCCATTGTTGACTAAGTACCCTTGGCTTTTGAAAGTCTTAAGACAAAGACTGAACTGAAACAGATTCACTACTTCCCTACTAGTACAAAAAAGTCTTTAAGACTATAAATTGGATGGAGAAAGTGACAAACGGTTAAGATAAGGCTTGAGGCAAAGACTTGTTATTGCCTGATAACAAAGGAAGTTTGGGGATGCAAAATTAAACACACGTCTTAAAAGTCTTTAAGACAAAGACTAGAACTCAGAACAACTGAAAGAGACTAGGCTTCTGAGTAAGTCTTTTAGATAAAGAGAAACAACTGAAAGAGTCTTTAGACAAATAGAACAACTGAAAGAAAAAAATAGAACAACTGAAAGAAAAAAAGTCTTAAGAAAAAGAGTCCTTACTTACACACGGCTCACAAAAAAAGTCTTTAAGACAAAGACTAGAACTTAGAACAACTGAAAGAGACTAGGCTTATGAGAAAGTCTTTTAGACAGAGAAGAACAACTGAAAGAAAAAAATTCTTAAAGAAAAAGAGTCCTTACTTACACACGGCTCACAAAAAAAGTCTTTAAGACAAAGACTAGAACTTAGAACAACTGAAAGAGACTAGGCTTATGAGAAAGTCTTTTAGACAGAGAAGAACAACTGAAAGAAAAAAAGTCTTAAAGAAAAAGAGTCCTTACTTACACACGGCTCACAAAAAAGTCTTTAAGACAAAGACTAGAACTTAGAACAACTAAAGAGACTAGGCTTATGAGAAAGTCTTTTAGAAGGCTTGATGCAAAGACTTGTTATTGCTTGATAACAAAGGAAGTTTGGGGATGCGAAATAAAACGCACGTCTTAAAGAAAAAGACTAGAACTCAGAACAACTGAAAGAGACTAGGCTTATGAAAAAGTCTTTTAGACAGAGAAGAACAACTGAAATAAATAAAAAAAGTCTTAAAGAACAAGAGTCCTTACTTACACACGGCTCACAAAAAAAGTCTTTAGAAAACTGGGTCGGTTTAAGTTTAGAGATATAGACTATGAACCATAAACTATATAGGTACTATCCCCACAAGGCTTAACGAAACCTTAAGACACAAGACAATGAATGGTAAACCAAGTCTTGACAAACACAAAAGAACGATCAAAGGCTGGAAATGTTTTTTAGACAATGACATTGTTGGATGGAAAAGACGACCAAATATGAGATTATGAATAAAAAACAGATTCATATGATCTGTGTGTGAAAGTGATGAAAGTGACAAGGTAAGTATGAGACATTTAACATGAAGTAAAGACTAACTAATTCTGATTTTCTCAGGTATGTGCTTCAGAAGGTGTTCTGTTTGCTAGAGACTTTGAGGAGATTTCAAGTGTAGAAGACTTCTTTAACAGGTATGTGCTTTTCAAACTTGTTTGTAATTTTAGTTGATACAATTATTAAAATCACGTGGAGACACATATGTGAACTAAAGACTACTTCGTCTGTTCATGTATGTATGTCAAAACTTGTTCATATTCTCATTCACCCGAAGGAGAGTTCATATTCACATAGAAGCCAAAGAGATTTCTCATCGTAGCGAAAGCATGTGATCAGGTATAAGCTTTTCTGAACTTTTCTGTATTAAATTGATCTTATTACATATGAGAATTGCAAATTAAGTTAAGTAATATATGCACATTAAGTTACAAATACCGATTTAAGTGCCATTCATTGTTAGATATATTTCTCAGATATGTAAATCACAAAAAATGTGAAGTGATATACGTATAGGTAGAGAGGTACTGATCAAACGGACATTTATAGTTAGAAATATCTCTTATATAGCTGTCTTGATAACATTACTAACAGTCTATCACTGATCTAGTCTTTCTCAGTTTCTAGAAACTTATTGCTAACATACCCATTGATAAAAATGTATATTTTACATTTGGTATTGACACATTAGATTGTGTGTTTATCGTGTGATCAATCTCTGTCTTAATTTTACAAGCTTACATGTTTAAATTCTGTTTTGGTGCTTTTATGTATCATAAGGTCTTTCATTTTCTGAAATAGATGTGTCTTGTCGTCTCCTAAAGATATTTATTTCGAATGCAAGTGAGACTTGTGTATTCAGTCTCGAGTTTATATGTTCTGCATTAGCCTTTGAATCTTTAGTGAGTATTCTAAAGTAAAAAAAACACATCTTTGCAATTCTGGCATCTTCTTAATGGACAAGAAAAGAACATTTATTGTTGGTTGTTAGTTTAAAATGGACTGTTTGAATTACGATGTTCGTTTTGTATGTGTTAAGTTATAAGATAAGTCTAGTGAGCATATTGTTTGCATTTTGGTTTGTTGTCTGATTGTTAATTCTTTGTTAGTAGCGATTGTGATCTTTGCTTCCTTGTTATGGTTGGATGATACTATCTTGACTTTTGCTTCCCTGTTATGGTTGGATGATACTATCTTGACTTTTGCTTCTTGATTCTTAAAATATTTATTCGAGTTTGTTAGCAGGGATTGTAATCTTTACTCCCTGCTATAAGATATGTCTAGTGAGCGTATTGTTTGCATTTTGGTTTGTTGTCTGATTGTTAATTATTTGTTAGCAGCGATTGTGATATTTGCTTCCTTGTTATGGTTGGATGATACCATCTTGACTTTTGCTTCTTAATTCTTGAAATTAAGTTAGAAATATACACGCAAAGTTAAAAATACTGATCTCTAAGTGCCATTCATTGTTAGAAATATTAATTGCATAGTTGTCTAATTTTATTACCTATGAAAATCAGAAGCTATGTTAAGTGATATACGTATAGGTAGAGAAATAATGATCAAACCAACATTTGTAGTTTGAAATATCTCTTATATAGCTGTCTCGGTAACCTTACTATCAGTTTCACTGATCTAGTTTTTCTCAGATTCTATAAACTTATTTCTAACATATCCATTGGTAAAAATGTAGATGTTACTTCTGGTATTGAAACATTAAGTTGTGTGTTTATCTTGTGAGCAATCTCTGTCGTAATTTTACAAGCTTACATGTTTAAATTCTGTTTTGGTGCTTGTATGTATCATAAGGTCTTTCATTTTCTTAAATAGATGTGTCTTGTCGTCTCCTAAAGATATATATTTTGAATGCAAGTGAGACTCGTGTAACCAGTCTCAAGTTTATATGTTTTGCATTACCCTTTTAATCTTTGGTGAGTAATCTAAAGATGAGAATTATATCTTTGCAATTCTTGCATTTTCTTAATGGATAAGAAAAGAACATTTATTGTTGATTGTTTGTTTAAAATGGACAGTTTGAATTTCGATGTCAGTTTTGTATGTGCTAAGCTGTAAGATGCCATCTTGACTTTTGCTTCTTGATTCTTGAAATAGTTATTCGAGTTTGTTAGCAGCGATTGTGATCTTTCCTTTTGTGATAAGATATTTCTTGCATTTTGATTTGTAATCTGATTGAATATTCTTTGTTAGCAGCAATTGTGTCTTTGCTTCCCTGTTACGGTTGGATGATACCATCTTGACTTTTGCTTTAGTAAATTTAGTAACCTTCTTGGAAATATTTACATTCTTCTATGTTTATCTTAGATTATACCCGATTAAGGGTTCATCAATATTTGTGATTGTTTTGTGTTATGTTTTAAATTCCTTGATGATCATTTTCAATAATCCTTGCAACTGAGTAATCTTTGGGTATAAATCTATAAATCATTTTTAATGATTATATTTAAAAAAGTTAAAATATTTTTGGAACTTTATATTAACAATCTTAATCTCACCCATTCAAACTGAATTAAACTTTATATATATTTAAACATATTTTTGGAATTGTATATAAACAACCTTAATCTCACTCCCCATTTAAATTGAATGAAACCTTTTATAAATTTAAAATTTATATACATTTTTTTCTCTTTTGAAAAATACATCTTTTATACTAAAAAACTGTTTTAATAAAAAAGAAGACAATTTAAAAAAACGAATTTCGAAATAATAGAATTAATCATATTTTTATCCACGTAAATAAATGTTAATTTTTTAAAAATGGATAAATCTATCAATCATTTTTAATGATTATATTTAAAAAAGATAAAATATTTTTGGAACTTTATATTAACAACCTTAATCTCACCCATTCAAACTGAATTAAACTTTATATATATATATATATATTTAAACATATTTTTGGAATTGTATATAAACAACCTTAATCTCACTCCCCATTGGAACTGAATGAAACCTTTATAAATTTAAACTTTATATATATTTCAATTTCATAAGTTATTAAAATTTTAAAATGGATAAATCAATCTTCCGATTTTAGCATTTATCTTTAAACAAATTTAAATATTTTTGGAACTTTCTATAAACAATTTTAATCTCACCCTATTTGAACTGTTAATAACATTTATATTTTTAATGATTATATTTCTTACTTGAATTTCGTTTTTATTAAATTAGTTGAAAACCTTAGATTAGGATAATTATTTCACATATAGAAATGTATGTTTCAAAACTAACAAAAAATAAGGATAGTTTTCACATGTAGATTCTTAGCTAGCTGTATCGTTTAAGTAGTCGGACAAAGGCAAGAATGTTTTTTTCTTGAGCCACAAGGGTTGCGAAGGATTTTCAACCTCATCTTCCTGATCCACTAGAACTGACTATGAACGGCGTTTTATATTATTTGGCTTGGACTGACTCGTATACTTGCGTGCTTGTGAGTTTCGACGCGAGGTCAGAGGAGTTTGAAATGTTGCAAGTTCCTCGCAAGGCAGGGGATGTGGTGTCTATAGGAGACAAGTGGGTGACGCAGATATAAGTCATCAAAAAGATAAGACATAAACAAGTTTATCCAATATCCATGTACTTGATGCTCTCCCTCGAATCCATAAACTCAATGTCAAAATATCTGGTCTTTACAGGCTTGCTAAACCAGCGATCCGGTATCCCTCTGATATCAATTTTCTGTAGATCATTGCTTCGAAGATCATAGCAGAGGAAATAAAAGGGAGAAACCAACTTAATCGGTACCAAAACAACCTTTTTTTGTTCAAAATAGAATCCTTTCATTAAGTAACCTTAAGATAATTCAATCTCCACTGACAGGGAGTGGAGAGAAGCTTTTGCTAATGAGTCAGCATAAACATTTGTCACTCTCGAAATTGAAATAAAATAACTTTCGCTAAATAAAATAACTTTTGTAATACCGTAGATCTCTTTCAATTCCAAATTTGAATTCAGAGCTTTGAGTAGCTGTGAATCCTACCTTTTGGCTTCAGTCTATTATCAACGACTAGATGCATCTGACAAGTCTGCAAAACCAGAGTCTTCATCGACCATTCTTTCTTCCTCCAGTCTTCCACAACCCACAAATCCACTTCACCCCTTGTCTTTGAGGTAAGTGAAGTAAAAAACAGTCACTTTCCCACCATAGTTATACATGTCTTAAGCGATTATCATTGGCCTTTTTGTGGTCATAAGCCTGAAATTTAACTTAACACACTATTGAAAGAAGCTTTCATTTTGATTTCATGTTTTACAATTGGTTTACAAGTGTTTAGCAGCATTCACACACAATTAATGCACATATTGTATCTTTTTCATCCATGAAATGAGATATGTGGCTCTCGTATGAAGGAGACTAGAAAAATCTCTTGAAGATTCTCCATGAAACCAATCTCGTATTCTTCATGTTCTTTCAACAAATCACAAGAGTGGAGAATGATAAATTAATTGGGATTACGTCCAACTCCAGTTTGAATCGAAGGCATCAATTTGCTTGATGTTTTGTTTGTTTGTTTTCATCATTTGCATGCATCCTCATGCATCCCAATAGAAAAATGTCGAGTTTCATATCTGTGAAAAAAAAAAAAAAAACTCAACTACATTATCAATCTCATTTCCCCAACACTAGAACAAGGCTCTAACAGCCATTCCGTATACCCAAGAGGCCAAGAATTTTGAGGCCAATTGAAATATCCGTATACCCAAGAGGCTCTAACAGTTATCCGGAACCAAGTACAACTGCGATTAAAAGCAAAGTATGGTCGACCCGTACGTCTAAAAAGCTGAGACACTTCATCTGGCAATATGTGTTGGGCTGCCTCTCTGTACGCGATCGCTTAGTAGACCGACACTGCGGAACAGAACGCTCCTGCCCTCGGTGCAGAGATGAAACAGAGACTATAAATCATCTTCTTTTCGAATGTCCGGATGCTATACAAGTCTGGGACTTGTCGGATATTCCAAAAATTCCGGGAACCTTCCCGTGTCTATCACAGTATCACTTTACAATAACTTCGACCACCTGTTATGGCGAGCAACAGAGTTAGGAGCTAATGATGAAACTCTAGCAAAGTTCCCTTGGATCCTATGGTACCTTTGGAAAGCAAGGAACGAGAAAGTGTTTAAAAATGAAGACACAAACCCCCTGGAAACGCTGCAATTTTCTATCGCCGAAGAAGAAGCTTGGTCTGCAGCACAAAGGGTGGAACAAACCGGAGGTGAAGATTCGCCGTCACAAAATATTATCACAGGCGAAGATGATGCAATCTTACTCCCACGGTGCCAAGTCGACGCCTCATGGGGTGTTGATAGCAAATTTAGTGGAGGAGGTTTTGTCCTGGACAAGGAAGACGGCGAAAAAACCTATGGAGCAATTTCCACGTATCATGCCCAGTCTCCGTTACACAAAACAGATTGTCTGCAAATTGTGAAGATCTTTGACGAGCTTGAAGTCTGGCCTTCTTTAACCACAGAATTAGAGGAATTTTACTTCACTGTTTCACGCTTTAATCACTTTTCCCTCGTTTTCATCCCACATTTGTTAAATCTCCGAGCCGATTGCTGAAGATGCAACTGGTTTGACGCAGATCGTGAATCAGTCAGGAAGTGCATCAGGACGTATGGACGGACTTGTAGCGGAGCTAAGTGGAGCTTAACGGAGCTAAAGGAATGTTGCTGAGCTGGATGCGAGCTTGTAGCGGATAAGGACGAATCCAGAAGAGGCGGTCGCTGAGCTGGATGAGGAGAGTTGGAGATATCAACACAAAAGGAATATTTCCTATTCTTAGAGAAAAATAAGGAAAGGAAATATTCCCTTGGGGATTTGGAGCAATCATCAAGACCGAAACCTTGTAGGGTTTCTAGGCACGCCTATTGTGGATAGATAGGGTGCTCTGGCTGCTTGTAGGCGGCTATCAAGACAAAAGGAATATTTTCTATTCTTAGAGAAAAATAAGGAAAGGAAATATTCCCTTGGAGATTTGGAGTAATCACCAAGACACAAACCTTGTAGGGTTTGGCGGTTTGTCTATTGAGTATAAATAGAGGACCTTGGCTGCTTGTAAGCGGCTATCACAAACTTGAGAGCTTTAGCATATTTGGGTTTAGATTTCTTGTAAGAAAGCTAGGACAATGGGGGCTAGGGTTTGAGAGGTTCAAAGATCGTGGATAGATCTGAGAACGTGAGAGTTACTAGAACAGCAACCAGATCGTGGATAGATTGTGATTGTTGAGTTCGTTTAAGCATATACTTGTAAGTTATCTTAAAGAAGTTTCTAGTAATATATTTCTTTGTAGAGAAAACCCCGTCCCAGTTTGTGATCTACTACTGCATCAGTAGCCCTTGGTTTTTCAATTGGTATCAGAGCAGTCACCTTGTGTGTATTGCTATAGCAGGTGAGATCTTGCGGAATAGAGGGCTATCACCCGGACTTCATGGGAAGGTCAAAAGTGATACCTGATGCAGGAAACTATGGGTATGAAGAAATCAGTAACTTCATAGCCCTTGCCGGAATTTCTGATTTTGTGGAAGAAAGAAAAGCATCTGAATCAGATACCGAAGACTCGTCCAGTGATGAAGAATCTGAGATTGATATCTACGAAAGCTTTAAAGAAGTTCGTGATGCTTTGGTTGAAACCGGGAAAGAGAATCTCGAATTGAAAAAGGAGAATGCTCGTCTTGAAGAAAAGGTTGGAGAACTTCAGAAGGCACTTCAAGCGGAAAAAGATCTCAACATGGATAATCTCAATATCATGTTGGAAAAGATGGAAGCGGTTAAACGAGCAGATGACATCACCAAAGAGTACTTTTTGGAGAAGGAGAACTCCAGGAGTCTACAAGCTGAGTTAGATCAACATCGAAAGCAACTGAAGATGTTGACTGGAACTAAGGAACTCGACAAGATCCTGAGTCTTGGTCGTGTTGGGAAGTCAAATCTTGGTCTGGGATACTCAACAGGAAGTGGATCAACCGGCAAGACAGTCACTTTCGTGTCTGGAGGAATAGCTCAAGATGTTGTTCAAGCAGAGACTAGATCATCCGCACATAAACCTGATCCCATCCTAAGGAGTGAAAATCGAGGAAAGACCACCATGGGATTAGGATATGAGGCTAAGAAAGTCAGTAATGCTAGAGCATCACATCGCCACAGAGGACATCAAGGGAAACAGTGCTATTTTTGTGGAGTTGTGGGTCATATCAAGGCGTTCTGCAACAAGTTTTGTGCTAGAGTTGATCACGCCTGGAGACAAGGACGCTACTACTGGAATCATGGACTGAACCAGGAAGACTGATCTTTACCAGAATCCTGCTCGACGTACAGCACCAGGTGGTACAAGACAGCGATTCTGCTCCAATATGGCACTATTTGAAGAAAGCAATGAGGTGGACAACACAGGAACGTGGTACTTCGACAGCGGTTGTTCCAGACATATGACTGGCATGAAAGAAAATCTGCAGGATGTGAAGCAGTTAAAAGGAGGAAAGGTGACATTTGGATGTGGAACCAAAGAACTATTCAAGGCAAAGGACGAACATCTGAGGAGCAACCACAGCTTATGAATGTCTATCTTTCCAAGGTCTAAAGTCAAATTTGATCAGTGTCAGCCAACTTGCGATGAAGGTTTAACGGTCTGGTTCAACAAGCTAGAGTGTAAAGCCATTGATGCTGACGGAAAGCAGTTCTACGAGGAGTTCGTTCAGGCAACAACTGCTACATGTGGGATCAATCTGCAAAATGCCTAAGTGTCCGAGATGATGTTGAACTATGGCACAAACGATTGGGTCACATGAATATTCGACATCTTACCACTCTGGTGAATAAGGAGATTGTTCGTGGTGTTCCAAAACTGAAGGGATGTGAGAAAATCGTGTGTGGTCCATGCAATCAAGGGAAAGCAAATCAAGGTCCAGCACAAGAAGGTGCCAGATGTACAATCCAAGACTGTTTTGGATCTAGTACACATGGATTTTGATGGGACCAATGCAAGTGGAGAGCATTGCAGGAAACGCTATGTCTTTGTTCTAGTGGATGATTACTCGCGATACACTTGGGTGCGCTTCATTCGTGACAAATCTGACACCATGGCGAGTTTCAAGATTTGGGCTCTTCAAGTCATCACTGAGAAAGGAAGCCTCAAGCGCATACGCAGTGATCATGGGGGAGAATTTCAGAATGAGGTCATGACTAAGTTCTGCAATGAACAAGGCATAGCTCACCAATTTTCAGCGCCTAGAACACCACAGATGAATGGAGTAGTGGAGCGAAAGAACAGAACACTTCAAGGAAATGGCGAGAGCAATGATCCATGGAGGAAATATTCCTGTGAAGTTTTGGGCTGAAGCAATCAACACCGCATGCTACATCATCAACCGTGTCTACATGAGAAAGGATTTACTCAAAACACCTTATGAGTTGTGGAAAGGAAAAACACCTAACTTAAGTTACTTTCGTGTCTTTGGATGCAGGTGTTATATTCTGAATGACAAGGATCAACTTGGAAAGTTCGACTCAAGGAGTGATGAAGGCATATTTTCTGGGTTATTCAGGCAACAGTTCAGCTTTCAGAGTCTTCAATCTTCGGTCCAAGATGATTATGGAGTCGGTCAATGTGTATTTGATGATCGATCAATCGCAATTATGGGAGACTTCCAATGTATTATGATCCAGAACCCAGGCAGCGAAGTACATGAAGAGGAATCCAGACAAGCAGGATGAAGAGAAGGTTCGTGAAGACATGAAGAAAAGACAAGCTGAGGATGACGAGAAGGTTGAACAGTCCTGACACGGTGGTTGCCGTAGAACACCCAGTGACACAAGTTCATAGAAATCATTCATCGAAGTGATCTGATTGGAGACATCACTGAGCCACGAAAGACGAGAGGAATCAAGCTGAACTACAAGCAGATGGTCAGCATGGCAATTATTCAATTTGAATGCTTTGTGTCAACCATAGAGCCACGAACACCTTGAAGCACTGGAAGATGCAGATTGGATCATCTCCATGGAAGAGGAACTGAGGAGTTCGTGAGAAACGATGTATGGGAACTGGTGCCTCTACCTGATGGTGTGAATGTGGTCGGCACAAAGTGGATCTTCAAGAACAAGACAGATGATGCTGGCATTGTACGAAACAAGTCAAGACTTGTTGCGCAAGGTTACTCACAAGTTGAAGGAGTCGACTTTGATGAAACCTTTGCCCCTGTAGCACGTCTTGAGTCTATCAGACTGTTCTAGGGATGGCATGCATATTGAACTTCAAGTACATCAGATGGATGTGAAGAGTGCTTTCTTGAATGGCATTCTACAAGAGGAAGTATATGTAGCCAACCGAAGGGATTTGAAGATCCTACACATCCTGAGTATGTGTATAAGCTCAAGAAAGCTCTCTACGGACTGAAACAGGCTCCAAGAGCTTGGTATGAGCACCTGACGAAGTTTCTGATTGACACAGGCTACGTCAGAGGAACTGTGGACAAAACTTGTTCACACTTGAGAAGGAAGAATGAGATGATGATGGTGCAGATCTATGTAGATGATATCATCTTTGGAGGAACTTCAGAGAAGCTGGTGGAAAACTTTGTGAAGAGTATGACTAAAGGAGTTCAAGATGAGCATGGTGGGAGAATTGAAGTACTTTCTTGGACTTCAAGTAAATCAGACTGAGAAAGGAATCTTTATTTCTCAAAGCACCTATGCCAAGAATCTACTGGTGAAGTTTGGTCTTGACAAATGCAAGGAGGCAAGAACACCAATGAGCACCACGACAAAGATTGGAAAGGATGAACAAGGAGAAGATGTTGATGTGAAGCTATACAGAGGAATGATTGGAAGCTTGCTTTACCTTACAGCAAGTCGGCCTGACTTAAGCTTCAGCGTTGGTGTGTGTGCTCGTTATCAGGCCAAACCAAAACAGTCCCATCTTCAAGCGGTGAAGAAGATCTTGAGGTATGTCAAGGGAACTGTCAATCTGGGGATCTTTTACTCCAAAGGATCCAACAGAAATCTTGCTGGATATTGTGACGCCGATTGGGCAGGATGTGCAGATGATCGGAAAAGCACAAGTGGAGGTTGTTTCTTCCTTGGGAACAATCTTATTGCTTGGCTTAGCAAGAAGCAGAATTCTGTGTCACTATCTACTGCAGAGGCTGAGTACATTGCATTGGGAAGCTGCTGCACACAGCTTATATGGATGAGACAGATGTCAGCCGATTATGGGATGGAGTCTGGACCCTTCTTGGTCTACTGTGACAACAAAAGCGCCATTGACATATCAAAGAATCCGGTGCAGCACTCAAGGACTAAGCACATTGACATAAGACACCACTTTGTTCGTGAATTGGTGGAAGAAAAACAGGTAGTACTTGAACATGTTGTCACAGATTTACAGCTCGCTGATTTATTCACAAAACCATTGGACTTTAACCGTTTTGTCACCTTAAGAAATTCCATTGGAATTTGCACAAGTGGTTTTGAATGATGCAGGGGCTGATACAGGCACTGGCTCGGGGTGTATAACAAGTTCAGATTTTGTTTGGAGTCAAAGGTGCCAATGAGGATCAGCTACTTTGTCATGCCGTCATGTCACCTCAACATAAGAAAAGTGAAAAGTAAGTGATTCTAAAAGCATGTTCAAGGTCAAAAAGCAGCTGAGCCAACTCCAAATGAATGCAATATGATGGAGATGGCTTGCTGCTTCAAGAACCAAAAAGTGATTCAATGAGCATAACAGGAAATGTGATGAACTGACAACAATAGCTCACAAGGCTAAGTTGGTTCATGTGATTTCTCGAAAGACAATGTTTCACAAGAACAAAGTCTGACGACAGAACTAAGAGCTGAATAGGAAAGGGGATGGACTGACAACAATAGCTCACAAGGCTGAGTTGGTCCATGAGCTTTCTCGAAGGGTAATGTTTCACAAGAACAACATCCAACGACAGAGAATGATCACATGTTCTGCCTTGAACAAAATAAAGAGTTTCACTTTGCACATCATTGGAATTAGAGGTGGTGATATGATCTGGGTATGACAAAGTGAAAGCTGCAGGTTGGAATCAGGATGGCCAAGCACTATGAATCTGTTGAGAATTTGTAATACATCCTGATGCAAGTGCCGACTCAGTCAATGTCTCCTTCACTAAAATGAAAGGTATTTAATTTGAGATAAACTGAGTAAAAATGTTTTTAAGCTGAAAAGATGTGACACATGGGATGGTATTGCTTGTTTGGATTCTATCTTGAATCGAATTTATGTGGATGTCACAATTTTGGGTCCTTGTGCTGTACTGCTGATATTGGTGCTAAGTGTTGCAGGAAATCAAACAGGATTCTGGGTCTCTAAACCAAATTAATCCGGCTGATTTATGTTGATTCCGATTAAATGGTGTTTTGAAACAGCCGTCAGATCTACAAGCCAGCAATCTCCAAGCACTGCCGTCGCCTGACGAAGCGACTGAAGTAGCGACCACTACATCTCTGGTAGTGACCGCCGATGGTGTTTCTGAACCAGCAGAGCCGGATGTACAACAGAACGACGCATCAATGTCTCTGTCAGATCCATAACCAGCCGTTTCACCCTCTCGACGAAGCTCGCGAAACAGAGTCTCTTGATGAACTTCAACTAGGTCAACCGTTTCGAACTACAACGAAGTAGTCTTCTCAAATCGAGAAGCAGCCATCGATTGATCCGCCATCTGATACAGCGCCAGAGGTTTTGTCATCCGCTCTTACTCAGACTTAATATGCTCAGAGTGTTGAAGAACAGAGTGATGCAGATGTTTCTCTCGTGCTAAGGAACAAGAGAGTTCTTCAGGAAACAGGTCCCTTCGCAGTTTCACTGACATAGTTCAGGGTCTGATCATCGTCAATCTGCAAGGTAAGTTGTCCTTCTGCACAATCTATTTCAATCTGTTTATCCATCTTGTGTTTTTAACTTGTGTGTGCTCACAAGCAGGGGGAGAATATGATGTATCAGAGAACGAAAACTAGGATCTAAGCTAGAATTGTGGGGGAGCAAGACTTTTGATCTTGTTTGCATTGTTTTGAGTAGTTTTCGATCTAGAATTCTGGGGGAGTTGAGAGTTGAAAGTTCTTTGATCTTTTGGATTTAACTTTGTTCTGAATCATGTTTAATATTTCTATGACTAATGTTGAAGTATTCAGATCATCCCAGTATTCTGGTCATCTCTGGTATATGCACTGTGGTTTTGAGTTTTACAGGTGCTTGAGAGACACAAAGCTAAAAAGGGGGAGATTGAAGATGCAACTGGTTTGACGCAGATCGTGAATCAGTCAGGAAGTGCATCAGGACGTATGGACGGACTTGTAGCGGAGCTAAGTGGAGCTTAACGGAGCTAAAGGAATGTTGCTGAGCTGGATGCGAGCTTGTAGCGGATAAGGACGAATCCAGAAGAGGCGGTCGCTGAGCTGGATGAGGAGAGTTGGAGATATCAACACAAAAGGAATATTTCCTATTCTTAGAGAAAAATAAGGAAAGGAAATATTCCCTTGGGATTTGGAGCAATCATCAAGACCGAAACCTTGTAGGGTTTCTAGGCACGCCTATTGTGGATAGATAGGGTGCTCTGGCTGCTTGTAGGCGGCTATCAAGACAAAAGGAATATTTTCTATTCTTAGAGAAAAATAAGGAAAGGAAATATTCCCTTGGAGATTTGGAGTAATCACCAAGACACAAACCTTGTAGGGTTTGGCGGTTTGTCTATTGAGTATAAATAGAGGACCTTGGCTGCTTGTAAGCGGCTATCACAAACTTGAGAGCTTTAGCATATTTGGGTTTAGATTTCTTGTAAGAAAGCTAGGACAATGGGGGCTAGGGTTTGAGAGGTTCAAAGATCGTGGATAGATCTGAGAACGTGAGAGTTACTAGAACAGCAACCAGATCGTGGATAGATTGTGATTGTTGAGTTCGTTTAAGCATATACTTGTAAGTTATCTTAAAGAAGTTTCTAGTAATATATTTCTTTGTAGAGAAAACCCCGTCCCAGTTTGTGATCTACTACTACATCAGTAGCCCTTGGTTTTTCAATTGCCTCTCAAAAGGAGCAAGGGTACGAGGAATGATTTTTTTCTATGTAGACACTACAGTTCGAATTGGTTGGCTCATGAAGCTACCCTATTCGGTTTAGATTAGTAATATATGGATTTTGTTGTCAAAAAAAAAAAAAAAAAAAAAAAAAAACACTCTCATGAAAAAATGCTATTTAGGTTATTTTAGTGTATTTATCATCTTTAATTAACAGTTTGAGTTTTTTATACCAACGATTTAACTATTTAAGCAATATTATCAATTTAGCAATGTTGATCCGTTCAATGATTCCATTCAATTTCTCTCTTAAAAATCACAATATAGAGTTCCTTCTATTGGATGGTGTAATGACTTAATTATTATTGATAGAGCGTGCTCTGCTTAATTATGAATCACAATATCATTTGTAATCATATCATATTGGGTCAGAACCATATCATTTTTTTAGATCCGGATCTTTTAGATTGTAATGAATCTTTGCTCGATTGTGACGAACTTCCTTACTCGATTTTGAAAGGAATGCTTTGTAGACATTGTATTTTACGTTACTGGAAAATCAAAACAAAAAGAGACATGAAAATCAAACAAAATTAAGTGATTTTGTGAAGGAAATAATCAATTTAACAGAATTATGAAGAGCATTTACCTTTTTCCTCATAATCAAATAGTTATTTTTTTCGAAAAAAAAGAAAAACAACCCGTGATAAAAACACATATATTGTCAAAACAACATTTTAATTAAATATTATTTGAATACAATATTTAATCTTAGAAACCTAATGTTTACAAATTTAATTAATTCATAGCAACATCACATGTCAAAACCAACATTCTTTTAGATATGGGTCTTTTTGGAGAGACGGAAAGTAAAAACGGTTCTAATGAAAGATGAAAAGAGAATAAAAAGAGATTAGAATTGTAAACTATATATATTATCTAGAGCATTTATCGGAATGAATCTTTACCCGATTGTGACAAATTTCCTTTCTCAATTTATTAGGGAATGCTTTATAGATATTGAATTTCAAGTTACCGGAAAATCAAAACAAAGAGACATGATAATTAAGTAAAATTAAATGATTTAGCAAAGGAAGGAAACAGTCAATTCAACAGAATTGTTAAGAGCATTTAGCTTTTTTTTTTCTCATAATCAAAATCTAATTTAAGTGATTTGAAGTAAAGGAAATGTTAAGTCGTTTACATAAAAAAAGCCTTCATCTTCGTTGATGAATAAGCGACGTCGATTTCTCCAAACTTCAAACTCCATTAACTCTTCGTCTTTACCTGATTTTCCATCGCCAACTTATCCCATTGAATCAGATAAAGTCGATTTCACATCTTCATTCGAAAAATAAAAAATCTATTTCTCTTTGACAGCTGTTTATTTGTTAATGTTACCAACAAGAAGACAATGAATTCGGGTCACAAGTGCAATATGGGCTAAACAAACAGGTCGATCATTGTATTGCCTCATAAAATCAGATTTTTAATATGTCTCCTTAAATTAAACACACAAACCCATAAATATTTCATTTTTACCTAAATCCATAATTATCTTTTCTCTAAATTAAACTAATGATAGTTTTGATTATTACATTCACCTAATTAGCATACTCTAATGTTTATTCATAAGATATAACATCTTCTCAAGCACGGGTCAAGATCTAGTGACTTAATTATTATTGATAGAGCGTGCTCTGCTTAATTATATGCACACAGAGAGAGGGAATATACGATACAATATACAGAACTAATGAGGACGTAATTAGAGAGGAAGAGAATGATCTGATTTCTATATTCCTACACCTTCAATTTGCATGTCCGTTACTGTATTATATTCTTCTTCAATTTCGGTGATACTATAGGTAAATCTGAAGACGCATGGAGGATCATCCGTTTGTGGTGAAAGGTCGTAAGAGAGCATTCTTTCGAACAACTAATGTTAGGGTTTTACTTTTCAGTGGATGTGGATCAGTGGATAGGCTAACTGCTAAGTGGTTGTTACGATGATATATTAGTGCTTCCCAATGAGAATGAAGTTATATTCTATGCTGAGAACAAGAATGTGTGTGAGCACGATATTGAGAGTCATGTGAAGCGTCAAGATCCCTACTTTGGCAATGGCCGTGTTCTTTTGGTTGTTCTTGCGCTATAGCAGTAGCGACTTCAAATCCTTTGTTTGTTTTTGTTAAGTCTAATTTAGGGTAAATACTAGGTCTATGGAGGGCCCAAACTATAGGAAGGTGCAGATTCACTTATAGACACTCTTTCCGGATGTGAAAATGGACTGAAAGCAATGGTCCATATCCGTGTGGTTATCTAATACAATGTGCTTTTGCTACGCACAGTCAAACTCAAAGCGTGTTGGCACCCCAAGAAAAATCCTTTTCTTACAATTTTTCGTCTTTGCAATCACTAGGTGTGTACAAAGGAGAAGCAGCGACCAAAAATATCCAAAAATATCAAACGGGATACGGTAAAGTAGTTGACGCTAACAAAAAGCATCGACAACCATCCTCTTTTTATTTGCATTGTTTTGTATCTCCAACATCACCGGATCCATTCAAACTTTGGATGCAAACTTTGGTGTTCTTAAGCCTGTATATTATTAAACGTCATGATCACATTAACAACAGTAAGAACGTGATGGCCTATTAGCTCAGTTGGTTAGAGCGTCGTGCTAATAACGCGAAGGTCACAAGTTCGATCCCTGTATAGGCCATTTTTTTCCCTATATTTCTTTGTGTTGGCTAAGGAATCCAGTCATTCATATCATTCTTTTTCACAATCGTAGTTTTTTTTTTCTTTTCATAAAACTAATTGACTTCATTGGTATGTTATGTATTAATTACGAACCACAACACCTTTACGAACATTGTTCAGGTTCAGGACGTGAAGATGTTCAGTATGGATCATTGTGGTTAACCCATGCACAAGCCTCACACTTGAAACAATAGCCTACCTGAAAAACTCTGATAAAAAGACTAAAAATGTCCAAACACTCAAAGATACACCAACTAAATTGAAATTGGAACTAAAACCAATAATAGTGTATATGTTATATTAATTACTACGTATTAATTGTTGTCCCCAAAAGAAAAAAAAAGTTTCACAAAAAAATTAACGGTAAAAAGAATTAAAAGAAACTAACATATTGAATTGCTATATATATATGCATGTTACCTTTTTGTTTTAGTTAATATGTTACTTGAAAACAAAAGATCACAATCTTCGTGCAAACTATCCTTATTTTACCCTTTTATAAACATCTAAGTATCGTTGTACTTGTTTAACCTCTATCATCAAACTAGCATTGTTTTAACATTTTAAATTAAATAACGTTTTACTGTTTCTAAAAATCATATTGTAAAATAGCAATTTTCTTTTTAGAATAAGAAAATGTCTCTGCTCTCAAATTTCTTTGGTAAACATGAATTCATAAGTTAAATAATACACTTTTGTAATTTCATCAAACAATATTTGAGAAAGCCAAAGGAATCACGATCTTTTGAAACAAAATATTATTCTCATTTGTAACCGGAGACTTAAGGTGCTTCCCCTCTTTGAATCCAGTTTCACAAGTATTCGGAGCATCCAAAGCAGCACTCAGATTCACATTAGCGCTACTGTAATCACCTGATTTAGCGCTTGCTAAAGCATCGTTTAAAGAACCAATAGCATCAGTATAAAGCTCGACACAATCTTTCAACGGTCCTTCAATACCTTTTGAAGCTTGCTTGTTCTTGAGAATATTTACCACGATGCCTTTCACGTTAATCATTTTGGACGCAGCGTTTTTTGTTGATGCTAGGAGCAATCCTTCTACGGTAGTTGCAGCTTTGCTCTGCGGATCTGATGTAAGAGACTGGACACAGAAATTGTATTTGATTTGGGGATCTTTTGCTGCAATTTTCTTGCAAGAATCTTGAATCAAAGTTTGTGCGGTTGCAAAACCGTTCAAGAAAAGCAAAAACATAACAAATGAACCGAAGAATTTCATTTTTTTTTTCTATGGAGGAAGAAGAGAAATGAGATTTGATTGATGAAGAAAATGTGAACCTTTCGATTCAATTTATAGTAAACTGAAACAGAGAACTTTAGAGTGAGACTGATATATTAATTTAAAAGCTTACCATTTCCGAGTCGAAACCGTTTCGACGAAACGTAAGTTTTAAACTCTTTCCTTTCTTAAATATCTTATAATAAATTAAAATACTTCTTACTGTTAATGTTTTCTTCCCCTTAAATTATCAGTTTATTTATTAAATTGTCAGTTTATTGGATTGGTATTGGTCAACATGTAATATTTGCTTTCCATATATGCACGTTAAATTTAGTCAAATCCTTTGAGTGCGTATCCAAATCATACATACAATATCATATATGACAAATTGACAATTTTTTGTTTTTTTTTTTTTTATCTCATTTTTGCCGTTTTCATCACCATTTTATATATAAAAAAAATCAAATGAATCATCATCTTTCTCAATTCACCAATTTATCAAAGGAAATACAAACATCGGTTTATTCATTATTAAAAATTAAATATTGGTCAACATGCAATATTTGTTCCCTTATGATACACGTTGTAACATGCCTGGACTAGTTATCCTAACCTGATATAGTAATGTTACAGAAATAGAAACCCCCCAAGCAAGGAAACAACCCTAAAATCTGTACAAATTATACATTCCTGAATGTCAAGTATATGAACAACAAACCAAATCAGTTTCTTGGACCGCAAGTCAAACAACATTCACATAGGAACCCAAGTAGACGAAGCATACACAATCCTACCTTTCCAGCCTTGAAGCAACCAGCTACCATCTTGATCAACATCAAACTCTTTGCTATTGTATCCACTCTCCACCATCAACTTTAGCTTCTGAACAAGGTCCTTCTCCAAAGGAAGCTGCCTAAACCCGGCTCTCACCGCCCTCGCTTGCCACTGCTTATAACTCTCCGGTCTCTCCACTCTCTCCGTCCCTTCGCAAGCCACAACGTTCATGATCTCCCTCCCATAGAACTCCTTCTCAAACATAACTCTCGTCGGATCTTCCCTCGTCAGGTTCGTGTCACACATGTCGAACAAAGACGAGTAATGAAACAAAGCTTCTCTAAACCTAGTGACAAAGAAAGGCGCGTTGTACGATCCGCTGAGGATCGCAGGGATGAAAACATCCGGTTTGATCTTCTTGATGAGCTTCAGAACTGCGTCTCTAGGGCTGTGCACTGCCACCGTCTCATCAAGAAGGTTCCTAAACCTAAACAGCGAGTTCACCGCAACGAACTCGCCTTCTCTCAGCTTCAAGTCCTCTAACCTGATCGTTTCCCACTTCTGCGCTATGCCGTTGTACTCAAATGGAATATTGAACTTCTCACAGTACCTAGCCAAGCGATGACCGGTCTCCACAACTCCCTCGGCCGGTCTAAACCCGCGCTGTGGCAGCTCTATACCGGTTATCCGAAGCTTACACGTCCCACCGCGTCTCCATGCAAGCCGGTGAATCAGAGGAGGCCATTGGAAGCCATAAGATATACCAAAGTCTATGATGTGTATGGTTTTCGCATTCTGACTCAGGTGCATGATGCTGTGATTAGCGAATATGATTGCGATCTTCTTGAACGGGCACACGGATATGTACGTATGGTAAGCTTTCAACATGTCGGACGCAGACGTTTTCTTGGAAGACAAGGCAGTGTAGACCTGCGTGCCTATCCCTGCCAAGCGTGCTTCAAGACTGTTTGCGAAGTAATGAGCTAATCTCTCTGTTCCATCGCCGTAAGAGCAAGAATGCTGCCTAACTTTTCTCAACAACTCATCTGCCGTTCTACGATCGTTAACAGAAACTGCTTGAGCACATGAAACCAAAAGTGTCCTCAGATCAGCTGTCGTCGTCTCTTTCATAGAGTCGTTACCACTACTACTAGCAGCCGGTTTCTTGCTAAAGGATGAAGCTTTCGTTGTGGGTTCTTTCGAAAAGTTCTCGTGAAGAATGCATACAGGTTTCTCCTCAGGCTGGCCAAAGAGCAGAATCTTGTCAAACATATCAGAAAGCTCAGCTTCATCCACATGAACAGCTGACTGTTTCTTGCTTCTTTCTTCAGCCAAATGTTCTTCTTCTTCTTCGCGCCGCCGCGAATGGCTTTTCTTTCCTGTCAGTCTGCAAGAAACAAAGTCCGCCGGGATGTAGCTTTCGACATCTATAACCAACTGAGAGCTCTTAGGAAGGAACTTACTAGCTTCCTCCACGCCTCTCTTGAATTGTAACGCCAATTCTCTATCGTTAAACATATTAGAAACCAAACCACCACTAACGCCACCGCCACCAACAACAGACTGTGGAATGGATCTAGACTGGAAAACAAAGTTGTTAGGGATTGGTGTATGTAACCAAGAAGGCCTATTGTTCTCTAAACAATCAAAGCTCCAGTCAGAGGAAGTGGTAGTGGTTGTGCTTGAAGAAGATCCATCAGGACTATCAGCCAATGGAACAGGGCTTGTTGTAGTAGTAGTGATGAGAGGCTGAGAATGATGATCAGGGTACGTTTCGCCGAGAGCTTCGTAGAGAGATTTCTCAGCTGCTTGAAGAGACAGAGCGTCGTGAAACATACATGGCTTCTCTTCCATGTCTTCTTCCATGAGGACTTGGCTTATGTATTTCAGAACCGAATCAGAGAAATCGGAATCCGCAGCAGCAAGATTCTGTTGTGGTGATTGCTCTGGAGGAGGAGGAGGAGATGGAGATGGAATGTTTAACAAAGGTTGGTCATTTAGATAGAAATCGTTTCCGAAATTAGGGAAATCAATCTGGTTGTTGAAATTGAAGCTCTCAAAAGATCCGGGGAATCCACCAGCAGAGTAAGAACCCATTGATGCAAAATCAAGAAACCCTAATAAGCCCTAGAACTTGTTCCACAAGAAAACGCAATTCCTAGTATCTTCCTAGTCTCCGAGAGACGATCCGTTTTAAAGATCGAATCTTTCTTTCTCTCTGAACAACAAAACAGAGGATCTAGTCACAAAAAGGTGAGATTTTTAATACAAAGGAGAAACAAAACTTGAAAGCTTACTTGTTTGGGATTAAGATGCGGCGATTTGAGATGCTATGGAAGAAGAAGAAGAAACCTTGAGTTGGAGGAAATGGTCTGTGTGTTAGTGGTGGAGACAGATGTGTTTTGTTTTTTTAATATGTACAGTTTAAATAAACTATAGAGAAGAGAACAAAATGGATGAAAGGTACAAATTTTCAATTATTATAAACATGAAACATTTTGATCCGTACTGTGTTTTCTTTATTATGAATCAGAAATCCACTCGGTCAGGAAACTTCCTTTATATTATAAAGAACAACCAAAACAATTTTGTTTTACTCAACTTCTTGTTACTTCTAAATAACTCTATTGCGTGACAAAGTCAGATGGTGGTGGGATTATCATACTCGCACTAAACCATACAAGACAATAAAAAATATGATTTAGATACATTACTTAATAGATTATAGCTTTTGAATTCCCACTAACAAAGATTTGGATATGATATTCAATCTTTAGAACTAACTATGATAAGTTCCAAACCTAACAAATTCTAACTTTACTGATAAGCTTTTATCCTCAAGCTTCATTGTTTCTGGTTCTACTAAACTGAATGATGGATCATACACACATATGCAATAAAACAAGAAGTGGAACCAGAGAACTATGATTAGAATGAACAATCAAAAGTAAGTACATGATGATCAAATCAATGAACAATTCTCAATCTCTCTCCCAAAGACATTTTCCTACTCTCTCTCTCTCTACAAGGGTATAAAAAATTAGATGTTTAGTGTGAAATCAGCTGCATAACTGAGAACAAAGCTCCTGGATCTGAGACTGGTTATCGCTACCGAGCTTATACATCTCTGTTCTCCCGTTAGCTATACACGTCAAGTTCATCTGTTTCCCGATTTGGCTCGACTGCACCAATTCCACATTCATCGTTACAAATTCAACACTAGGCAAAGATACATGAAAAGGACAGACAGAGAAGTTTCTTACCTGACAGTACACATTTTGAGATTTACAGCTCCATAGCGACGTAGGAATACAGCTTAGATAATGGCACCAAGAACAATGCTTGTTCAAATCCGTTCCTCGGAGAAGCACCACGAGTCCAACGGTGTATCTGAACAACACAAACCATAAATTTGTTGCATCAGAGATTTGTCTAAGAATCTGTATTTCATTTTGCCAATATCGGTTTAATGCCATACCCTGCAATCAAAAGCACAAGAGAGGTGATCCAGAGAACGTATTGGTACGGCTTGTGTTTGGATTTAGCAGACGGTGCAGCGAATCCACGAGGATTGTTCCTCTGGTTGAAGTATCCATACTGAGGACGGATCAAGAAAACAAATCCTAGAAGAAACCCTGATGTGAATCCTCCAAGATGTGCAAAGTTGTCTACGTGTGGAAGAATACCTACTGCTAAGTTAATGGCTATGATGAAGATGAGTGTCAAAAGAGCTGCAAACTGCAAAATGTAGATGAAGCTCTTTAGACGACGACATTCATGGAGAGAGTGTTAAAGTTTTACTTGGTTTTGGCTTTACCTTATTTGCGTATATAGTCCAGTTAGTGAGGAGCTCTGAGAGCATAGCTCCGAGCAAACCGAACAACGCTCCAGAGGCACCAACGGAGATACCAGCCCGGTTAAAGAGAGAAGATAACAAACTTCCACCAAATCCAGATATCATATAGAGCAATCCAATGCGTACTAAGGATCCATAGCAAAAATCAGTAAACGTCAAGTCTTTAGAATCAAACCATACACATTTTGGCACATTAAAAGATTCATTCTTACCAAATCCAAATTCTTGCTCGAGTCGAATACCGATGAAGATAAGGCTCAACATGTTGGCAAGGACATGGAAAACCCCAGCATGTAGCCATATACAAGTGAATAGGCGCCACACCTCATGGTTATGAATCACCATTGTAACATCTAAAGCACCCATCTGCTCCAATCTGGTATATGCAAGTACACATAAATCAGTCACACTTTTACCTCAAACCAGAGAAACATTCACATTCATCCACAAGAAGAGTCTTACTAAAACATATATACATGAAATTGTCAATCTTAAGTCTGCTGTAAACTAAAAATGCAATCAATTTACTCACCAAATTACATAATCAGCCCCAGAGTCTAAGATCTGGAAAAAGAGTAGCATATTGCAGCAAATGGAAGTTGAAAAATTCCCAAAAATCGAATATTTTGAACATCAAAAAACACACGAATCTGAAACAGAATCTCTATCAAGGGAAAAGGCCAAAAAGTTTGGAGATTTAAGGTTACCCACGTCGAAGAAGAAGGACCCAGAAGAGGATTTTCTTTCATAGGCTGAAATGAGAATCGACCCAGAAACCTAGCTGAGCAATGAGCCGAGTTTTTAGGGCAATTGTTGATGAACATCGAGACGGCGAAGAGGACAATGTTAGCCACCACGATAGCTGGAACCAGCCACGGAAACCAAAGCTTAAACGGCCGAAACTCCGCGAACGAAGTGCGTTGCCTCCGTCGACGATTCGCCGGAGAAGTTTCCACGGGCACATTGTTTGTCGTCGGCGGATTCACCACCTTGATCTCCAATCCTTCTCGCCGATCGCGACCCATTTTCGAAAAGCCAAAAAAAAACCTCTTCTTCCTTCCTCTGAATTCGGAGAAAAACAGAAAGGATCGAGCTTCACGACATTGTTTCTACAGGAGCGAGAGAGGAATAATCAGATGGGAGACGAGAAGATGAATCAATCTGTCTTTCCTCTTTTTGGGCATTCCTCGTGAACAAGCTAATTAAATTTATTCACTGCTAATATAAGTAAATTATTGAAATTTTTGTAGTTATATTATTGTTTTTAAATCACATTTTAAAGATTCGAGTATTAATTGCGCCAACAGTAGCTTTGATTAATCACATGGTGATGGGAAGATAAATTAATCTAATCCTAATAAATAAAATATACTGTATATAGTTGCATTATGTAGTAGAGTTGAAAATAGAAAATATTCCTTTCCGTTTCTTGGAAATCCAGAAAATATGTTCCTTGCTTTCGAATCCAAATGATAATTTTGACTTAGCATCGAAATCCGTCAACCAAGGTTACATTAATTGTAATAATCAAATAGGGATTATCTCAGTGGGTGAGTCCAGAAACTATTTTTGTTGGAATCACAAACGGTTTAGAAAAAGAAAATTTCGTGTAAAGGATTTGAACATAAATACTGTTGCATGAAACTTTGTCTTAAAGATGCATTTTTCATAGGCTTAGGATTTGTCTCGGCCCATCCATAAGCTTAAGATTTACCCTGTTAAAAAAAACAAAATGCATTTTCTGTTTCAAAAATAAATGGAAATTCTTATAAATTTGTCGAAACTCGTTTTTCCATATTTTATAAAAAGAAAATTTGGAAACTCGTTAGAAAAGCACAATTTAATTTTGGAAACTTGAGGAAAACTTACTTTTTTTTGTTTTTAAAACATAACAATTAAATCATTAGGAAATAAAATAACATAACTAACTAAAAACTTAATTATTTAAGATAAACTAATAATTAATTTGATTTATTATATGATATTAGTCTTAGCATTATATATTAAGTTTGAAGATTCTTTTCTCATCAAAAAATATTTGAAGTTAGTATAATCTAATGGGCCTATTTTTTTACAAATGGATATTGTCATCCTTAAAAAAAATAAATAAAAAACCAAATAAAATAAATGAAAACCAAATTAATGAAGGCAAACATATTTCACCTACTTTATATGATAGTGAGGCCAAAAGATAAACAAATTGAAAAAAATTACAAGATGGGAATTTAAATCATAAAACTAAAATTATTATTCTCTTTGTCCCAAAATATAAACACTTCTCTTTTGAAAATTAACAAAGGGAATTGTTTATATTTTGTGACAGAAGAGTATTAAATAGACGAACATTACATATTTAACGTTTTAGTTATTTATTTTATATTTTATGTTTTTAACTATGATAATAAGATATATTTGAGTCATATTTTGTATTTACTCTTGCAGAAACACATGGTTATATGTGGTTCCTCAACGTCAGGTTCACAATAGCCTCCCAGAAAACCTTGTGCCTTGAACTTAGTTGGTGAATTTTATTTTGCACAAAATCATTGTTAATTCCATCGTAAATATACAAATGTCCTATATTGCGAAGTTCTTTTGACTTTAAGGTTTATTTTGTATAGTTTTTAACTCAATGTTTGATTTGCAAAAATAATTTAGTTCGAAGGTCTTTTTGCACAAAATAAGCCTATTTTTCTACAAATGGATATTGTCATCCTTCTAAAGAAATCTGAAAACCAAATTAATGGAGGCAAACACATTTCACCTCCTTTATATGATGGTGAGGCCAAACGAATAAACAAACTGAAAGAAATTGCGAAATTGGATTAAAGTCATCAAACTAAAATTGTTTTTAAATAGACGAACATTATATATTGAATTATTTATTTTATGTTTTTAACTGTGATAATAAGATATATTTGAATCACATTTTGTGTTTACTCTTGCATATACAATTTTTTTTATCTGGTTCCGCAACAACGGGTCCACCACAATAGCCTCCTGGATAACCTTGTGTCTTGCAGTAGTTGTTGCAGGCTTTGTCATCAAAACCCCCTGCTGGATCGCAAGTAAACACTGCAACGTCTCGGCCTAACCCTGTCCAACACAAAAGATTTCGAGGATGTTTATAGAATACTTAACTGAGAGAACAAGTGAAAAATCGAACACATGTATATGCAGTCAGATCTTTTAATCTTGGTTTAAGATATGTAATCAGATCATCAAAGTGGACCTGTCGTTGCGGAGGTAAGAAATTAAACTAAAAATACTTTTGTTGCATAGAGAATTTAAACCTTGGGTAAGAAGAACACCAATGCAAATAAAAAGAAGGAAGAATTGTTTGGTAGAAGCCATATCACTTTGGTGGATGTTATTATCTATGACCTCTCTTGTTTTTTATATTCGTAGGTGGATCACATACACACATACATTTTATAGCAAACCTACATATACTGGATGGATGTACAGTGAAGATATTTCCAATTTTTGTAAAGTCAACTATTTAAAAAGTCATTTACTTTTTTTCCTTTTCATGCAAAATGTACATTCCCTACTTAGGTAGATGGGTATTGACCAAATTAATTCCCATTTGTATTGACTGACAAGAGCTTTAAAACAATGAAATAATTTTTTTTTTTGTCAACAACCTAAGTTCCTAAAGAGGTTCGACCGGTGGAACTGAATTTATATAATACACATCGTAAGGCTGATCTCGAGCACTCTGCTAGCTTGTCCGGCCTTTTGTTCTTTGTCCTAGGGATAGGGGTTAAGGAAAACGCCTGGAACTTCCTCTTGCACTTCTCAACCTCGTCAAGTAGAATCTCAAACGTCGGCCACTCTCTGGGTGTGGACACCATCTTCACCAAATCTGCGCAATCCGTTGAAAATTCATTCACCGTTTGTTATGTACTAATATACTTTGCATAGCCCAAACTAAAGCTTCCAACTCTGTATGTAAGGGTGATAACCCTCATCGGAGATTACTAGCGCCAACCAAAACTGAGTCCGATTCTAGGTCAAAATTGAACCAGCCAAGACCCGTCCGACATTCTGTTTCCTTCCATGCTCCATCTAACTAGCACCACTCTCCCACCAAACCTTGCTCTATACGTGGAGCCGTGCTCACAGGCGCCCTAGGTTCACCCGTTTGGGCAGCAGCCAATGAAATACCTTTTTTGTTGGCTAAACAATAATATACTATTTTTGTTTCTAAATAATATTTAAAAAATCTTACACATACTAAAACAATAACTGACTCAGATTATCAAAAAAATTAAAATTAACATTTATTATAAAATTATATTACTTTTACAAATTTGAGATTTAATAGACATTCCATTGATTAGTAAAAGCAATAAAATTGTGCCAAACATATATCATCTCTTATATATTAAAAGAGAAGACATGCTGAGGTGTCAGCATTTGCCACACTCTCAGATCTTCTAAAAATAACTCTCTCTTAATTAGACTATTTACAAATATGCCACATAAATTATCAAGATATTAATAATTACAAATATTGTCATTCATATTTTTGGTTATGGAATCAAATATTTTCATTCATATTTTTGGTTAGAAATTAAATCTGTATTATTAAATTAATCATATATGTAGCTATTAATAAAAAATTATCATTCTCTTTCTTAATTGGCAATTACGAAAATTAGTAAATAAGGATGATCAATTTAATTCTATCATAATAATTGTTTTTTTAAATCATTAGATATCTCATTTCATCTTTGTTTACCTCTATTTTATAAAATAATTTGAATCACAATATAAGAAATTTAGTAAAGAAAATCAATTTTTCTGTATATACTATGATTTGAATTTAAAAAAAAGAATATTCACTAAAACTCTTAAAATTCCCATATATGATATGTTATTGTGTGAAGGTGTAAAAATATATTATATAAAAAAATAGATGATGTGCAACCATATGACATAGGAGAGTAGGTATCCAAATGTAAATTGGTTTTTTATTCGATTTAATATGGTTTTTTAATTAAACGGTATAATTAAATCAAATAAGACAATTCTTCTTATAAATATTTTGTTTTGATCAAAAATTTGAATATTGATCTATCTGTTTCACTTTCAATATAAAAGTAATTATATTTTTGTTGTTTTGACAATTTGGATACTGCAGATTGTTTTCTTATTGGTCGAATTGTTTTCAAATTATAATAAAACATTTTTTAGTTTTGAATGAAAGAGAAAAAAGTTAGTTATAATCCGTTTGCATAGTTACAAAAGATATAATCCGTGTGCATACATCTATAACTGCTTATCTTATAAAATACATGATATATAATTTTTAAAAAGAATAGTATTTTATTTTCATTTTTGTTCTTTGAACAATTTTATTATATTGTAATCATTTGAGTTTTATGTATATGCTTAAATCTATCATATTTAATTTATGGCTACGATCAACATTTTAATTTGTTTAACTTTTTTGAAAATGGTTTAAAATGCTTAATTTCCACACTATAAACCAAGACAAGAACCTAACCAAGGTGAAAAATATGTCGTATAAAATTTCAAAATAGTTATATATACATTTCTGATTAAAAAATACAAATTCAGAAATCATCACCCGTGCAGGGCACGGGTCAAACCCTAGTTGTCCTTTAAAGCGAAAATCATTCAGATTAGTTTGCTGCTCATCTTTGACATTATTTGAACTAGGGACTGAAGCCCTGCGCACACGCGGGGTTGTTTGTGATAATTCTTTTGTATGGTTTTATTTATCTTTGTTGATTTAAATAAAATAGTTTTGTGTTAATTTCCATATTTTGATTATACTTTGAGTTAACTCACTCACTCACACTAAGTATATCATCAATTGTTTTTTGTTTTATTTTATTAAGATGTTAACTCTATACTTCATCTCGAGCTTTTCGTAGAATCGCATTTGCATTCGATGTATTACTGTTTACATATATGTTTTGTGAAGCATAATGACTCATTGATTATTTCTATAATGTTAATTTTGTGAATATAGATTGTATTTTTGAAACAAACATGTTACAATCCTTAAAATTGTCAAAAAGAACTCTAAATATAACTTCTCATTACCTTCATTTTTTTTTGTCAACAGCCTAAGCTCCTATGTCGGTTCGGGAAGCGAAACCGGTGGAACTGAGTTGTGTAGTACACATCATAAGGCTCATCTCGAGGACTCCGCACTACAAGAAATGTCCTTATTGATAGCACTAAACGATGGCACAATTTAGTAAAATGCTATTACAACTTGTTAAAAAATTGCGTTTGGCTGTAATAGCGTAAAATTAATGTTAATAAAAAAAAAGCAATAAGCGGGAATCTAAAAATAAAAAATCCGCCAATATCAGTGTAAAAAACACAACACGCGGCAACACTTACTCATTTTCTCCTCTTTCCTAATTTTTCCGAGAAAATCTAAGTCTTCGTTCCCCAAAATTGAAATTCACCTTCACCGCAGATCTTGTCAATCGCTCAGCTGATTCTCAACTACGTTCCGGGTAAAACTCGACGGCGCCATCATCGAATCGATTACCTCCATCTCCGCCCTCAATTTCTGCTCTCATCGAAGCTGAATCTCAATCTTAGGTATCCTCGCCATCTCCCAAATTCGTAATCTATCGTCGTTCATAGGTTTTGTCGATTCTATTACCGTATGATTCTAGGTTTAGTCGAGACAATTTCAGTTAACAATCCTGTCGCCTGAATTTCAATCGAGGTCGGAACCATCTCTGATTGAATTGCTAGTTTGTCGGTTCAGGGTTTAGTTCAATGTCGATGTAACGTTTATCTGGAGTTAATTTAGGTTTCGATTTGTCATTTACGGATTCGAAACAACATTTTAGTTTTGTTAATTTCTACTCCGTAGTTTGAAATTTAGTGTTGGGACCAAAGAATATAGAGCTTGGGTTTGTTGATTCATAAATTTTGTTTTTCGGACCAATGTCGATAGCTCTTTCACTTGTTATTACAACAGTTATTCAAATAGGTTATTCACTTAACACTTGATCTATATAATAACGGATTTAGATTCTCGCTTACAGGTTCACCATCTGAATACCTCGACACCTCTGCATTGTTACAAAGGTTAGCCTTCTTTGTTGTTAAATGTGTGTACGATTTTACTACTATAGAGCTTGGGTTGTATATGTCTTGCTTGTTTGCCTAGAATATATCTTAAACACTCTGTTAGAAATTAATAAGCTATAAGAAAATGAAAACATTGTCTGACTTGGTTTTCTTTCTGCGAATCATGAATATTTGTTTGAAATTGTGGTGACAACGGTTCTGAAAAGGTGCCTTCTTAAGATGCTGGACAAGGAATGGGTCAATCTGTCAAGGTTAGTAGTTGTGTTATACATAAATGTATTTTAGTAGGTTAGCTGATAGTAACATCTGGTGATCCTAATTAACATTTTTGTACTTTCTCATTTGCGGTTTATACAGAGCTGATCCAGGTTATGAGATTGGTGCATGGATTTTTGTGAACTCGGTTGGTGTCTCATCAGGAGACACTAATATGGTCGTCTGCCCTTGCATAGACTGTCGCAATCTAGATCGTCACTTAGGATGTGATGTGGTGGATCATCTTGTCAGAAGAGGAATGGATGAAAGTTACAAGCAGCAAGTTGATTGGTATCATCATGGAGATGTAGTCTCAGAGTATGGAGTTGAAAGCAATTTTAGTGGAATGAGGAGATTGTTGGGTTATTTAAAGCTGCCGGCTACTTAGATGAGGAATTAGCTAGTAAAGGTGACTTAGGAGATTTCGTAGAGGGTGAGGATAAGAAAGAAGACGAGTTTCTAGCTAAGTTAGAAGACGCCGTGACGCCATTATACCCTAGCTGTGTCAGCCATAGCAAGCTCTCGGCGATTGTGTCTCTATTTAGGATTAAAACACAGAATGGGTGGTCAGATAAGAGTTTCAACGATCTACTCGAAGAACTACCAAAAATGTTACCGGAGAATAACGTCCTCCACACTTCAATGTATGATGTGAAGAAGTTCCTTAGGTCTTTTGATATGGGTTATCAAAAGATCCATCCTTGTGTGAACGATTGTTGTTTATTCAGAAAGAGGTTTGAGAAGCTAGACTCATGTCCGAAGTGCAACGCCTCAAGGTGGAAGATCAATATGCGGACGGGTAAAGTTAAGAAGGGTGTCCCCCAGAAAGTTCTTAGATACTTCCCTATTATCCCGCGGCTTAAGAGAATGTTCAGGTCTGAGGAAACAGCCAAAAATTTGTTGTGGCATTCTACTAATAAGAGCAAAGATGGGAAACTGCGTCATCCTGTGGACTCGGTTACTTGGGATCAAGTAGACGCTAAGTATCCGTCTTTTGCAGCTGAACAGAGGAACATACGGCTTGGACTTTCCACTGACGGTTTCAATCCGTTCAGCATGAAGAGTAGCAGGTACAGTTGTTGGCCTGTCCTTCTCGTGAACTACAACATGGCTCCTGATATGTGCATGAAGAAGGAGAATATCATGCTTTCATTGTTGATTCCTGGCCCGCGGCAGCCTGGGAACAGCATTGACATATAATTGGAACCGCTCATTGAGGATTTACAACATTTGTGGTCTAATGGAGAGTCCACATATGACGCAGTCACGAAGACAACTTTTAGTCTGAAGGCAATACTCCTCTGGACTATTAGCGACTTTCCTGCTTATGGGAATCTTGCTGGTTGTAAGGTCAAGGGCAAGATGGGATGTCCTGTATGTGGGAAGGATACAGACTGTATGTGGTTGCCTAATAGTAGGAAACATGTGTACATGTGCCACAGAAAGGGTCTCTCGCCTACACATAGTTACCGGGGAAAGAAAGTCTGGTTTGATGGCAAGGCTGAGCATGGGGTTAAGAGGCGGATACTCACGGGTCATAACATTTCTTCACTCTTAAAGAATTTCAAGAACAACTTTGGGAACACAAAGAAGACAGGAAAGAAGAGGTGTAGGAGTCCTTGTTTAGACTCCTTCTCAGATAGTGAATCTGATGATGAAGAAGAGACTGAAGTGGACGAGGAGGAATTATTAAGATGGAAGAAACGTTCTATCTTTTTTAAATTGCCTTATTGGGAGGTACGTTTACGTTATTCTCTTTGAACTCGCCGTTATTTCTCCATTACTCTCACTTACTGATCATCTGACATTTGAAATTTTTACTACTGCCTAGGAACTCCCTATCAGACACAATTTAGATGTGATGCACGTTGAGAAAAATGTTGCTTCGAGCATCATAGCTACTTTGCTGCATTGTGGAAACTCAAAGGATGGGTTGAAGGCGCGTAAAGATCTTGAAGTCTTTGGTATTAGGAAGGACCTACACCCTAAACTGAAAGGGAAAAGAACTTACCTTCCACCAGCACCGTGGTCCCTGTCGAAGACAGAGAAGAAAGTATTCTGTAAGCGGCTATACGACTTTAAAGGTCCAGACGGCTATTGTTCTAACTTATCAAGCTGCGTTTCATTGGAGGATTGCAAGGTCATGGGTTTCAAATCTCATGACTACCATGTTCTAATGCAACAACTACTTCCTGTAGCATTAAGAGGTCTACTACCTAAGGGTCCCAGTATCGCAATTACACGTCTCTGCTCATTCTTCAATCATCTGTGCCAGCGAGTCGTAGACAGAGAGCAACTTTCTATAATGGAAAGTGAGATTGTGGAAACGCTCTGCATGTTCGAGAGATTTTTTCAGCCTAGTTTCTTTGATATCATGGTCCATTTATGCGTCCACCTGGGTAGAGAAGCTAGACTATGTGGACCTGTCCATTTCAGATGGATGTACCCATTTGAAAGGTACGTTTTTACCTCTTTCTTAATTACTAATATCTACTGCCATTGATGAACTTCTGGGAAATAATTAGCGCAATGTGTGTAGGTACATGAAGGTGTTAAAAGATTTTGTCAGAAATCCAGCAAGACCCGAAGGATGTATGGCGGAGTCATATCTTGCACAAGAGTGCATGGATTTTTGCAAAGAGTTTCTAAAAACAAGTACAAGCGTAGAAGATAAACCAGAGAGGAATGATGACTTAGAGAGCAGTTCCATCCTTGAGGGACGTCCTATATCTGCACCACGACCGTTTATTCTCAGTGAAGCTGATAGGAAAATAGCCCATATGGCTGTTATTCAGAACTTGGCAATGGTTGATCCCTACGTCGAGTAAGTACCTTGTACTCATCTCAAATGTAAAGTTTCTTAGATCTCAAGATATCTGTCTGACTTTTTTCTCTTTCAAATATGCAAGTATGCATCTCCAACATTTGCAAAAAACTAATGTGATATGCAGACGTGATGCGACCATCTTATGGACTATGCACACACAGAATTTTGCATCCTGGTTGAAGGAACAAGTAAGTTTCAGTCCTATATTTTGTAAGGGTTATTATTTTGATAGTATTAAGCTTAATGGTTTCATTTTTTCCATATTATTAGATACCTATGAATTCTGAAGGGAATGAATCAACCCTAAAGTGGTTAGCATATGGACCACGTCTGAATGCAAGGTCTTACACTGGTTACATAGTGAATGGTCTGCGGTTTCAGACCGACTCGGTTTGCAGGCAGAGTCAGAACAGTGGAGTGTTCTATGAGGCAGCGTCTATGTGTAGATCTAGTGCTAGGGACAATTCTCAAGTAGTTGACATGGTTTCGTATTATGGTCGACTCGTAGACATTATACTGTTAGACTACAACGTATTCTACGTTGCTCTATTCAAGTGTCAGTGGGCAGTCAGGAACAATGGTGTGAAGATTGAAGACGGATTCACTCTTGTAAATCTGCATCAGAACCAAGCATCATTCTCCAGAGATCCATATATATTAGCTTCGCAGGCGAAGCAAGTTTTTTACTCAAGAGAAAATGATTCATCCAATTGGTATGTTGTTATGCGAGGGCCATTAAGAAGATACAATGACGAAGCCGTGGATAATGGGGAGTCTGATGTTGGGCCACTACCGGCTATGGTTAATATGGAAGCAGAGGTTTTAGAGGATGAGTCTCATAATGCTCGGAATGATTGTGAAGGAATATATGTGGACTGATTGCTTGCTTTGTGTTCGCTTTTCTTGTTTGTAGTAGCCTAGCTTTTATGAATGAATTTGGAGAATGAGATTTGACCTCCTTCTGTTTAAGTAATCACTTGTGTTCTCATTTTTTCATATGTAATGTCTTTTTCAGATTTTTCAGGATGACTAAGAAAGGTAATCTGAAGAAGAACGCAAAGAGAAAGAACCAGGCTGACGATGTGGAGCCTGAGTTTGTTTGCCATATTTCTCCAACGATTGAAGCAGAGGCGGGGGCGTCTCAACTCGGACCTGATACCTTGGATGTGCAGGACGATGGTACTGCAATTGAGGTGCAGCCACAGGACCCTCTTCCAGAAGCAGATGCCTCTGACGAACCACAAGAAAAAGAGCAGCCTGGCCCTAAGAGACGGAGAGGCCCAACCCGAATGAAGGACATTGCCAAGGATCCAAACTCCAAGGTCCGAGTCGAATGGACTGATCTGGGACAACCTTGTGGGAGTGGTTCTGTGACGCTGTCTTCATATGTAGGTGCTCTTGTGAGAGAGTATGTGCCTATCACAATTAATGACTGGAGGAAGATAGGTGACGACCGTAGAAATGTCATGTGGAGATCTATTCAGGTTAAGTTCTTCTTTTTGTAACGTTTATATCTCCTCCGTCATATGCTCCACATTTAACTTCTTCTTTTTCTTATGTGACTATAGGCGAGGTTTGACCTGGAAGGGGATACAGAGAAGGCTACTGTCATGAGACAAATGGGATGCATATGGAGATCCGCTAAATCTCGGATAGTAGATAAGTTCAGAAATGCCAAGAATAATACAGAGAGGATGCAGCTGAGACCCAAGAATGTTCCTATTGCTGAGTGGCGTAAATTTATTAAACAGAAAACAAGCGCGGAATTCCAGGTACGTTCTGTCACTAGTTATTTGTTAATCTCATATTCATTCACACTTCCATGTTTAGTTCTCTCACACATTCATCTACAGGTAATAAGCGAGACGTTTAAGGAGAGAAGAAGCCTTCAGATTCCACATACATGCAGTCGAAAGGGAATGGCTAGACTGGCTGAAGATCTGGTAAGTATATATGTAGAAATCTGTTTATATATTGAAGTGTTAAAGTTTACAGTCGAGGTAATAAACCTTATGTTCTCTACTCCTCCGTAGAAAAAGGAAAGCTCGGATCCTTCAGAAGTTACGAGATTTAAGGTTTGGGTTAAATCTCGAACCAAAAAGGACGGCACAATAGTCAATACAAATGCTGCGCAGAAAATTGTAAGTATTAACAGTTGGAATAAGCTATTCTTATTAATATAAGTTAATATGAGGAGTTATCGTTTATGGTGGTAACAGACTAAGGCGGAAGAGCTTCTTCATGCTGATTCTCCTACATCGACGTCTACAAACCCCAAAGAAAACATGCTTACTCGGGTTCTAGGCCCTGATAATCCAGGACGGTTAAGAGCTATGGGTAGAGGGATGAGTGTGACTAAGCTCGCATGTTTCCAAATGAGGAACAAATATATGACGGAAATGCAGAAAACCCAAGCCAGTTTGCAGAAACAGGTGGAGGAGTTAAGAGAACAACTCTTTCATATAAACACCCAGGTTAGTAACATATATTACATGGGGTAATTGAAGTACAAATGTTGTCTTTGTTTACGAGTGTTCTTGTTTTTTCAGAAACCTGAGCCTGAGATTGGTGAGAACTCTGCGCAGAGAGTAAGTTTACATCAATAGTTTAATTGGCACATGTGTCCTGCTTTGAATATGTTCTCTCGACTTACATGTTCTCCATTGCGTTGTAGAGTGTCAACACAAGGAAGCAACGTAGATGTGACCTGTATGATTACAGTGGAGGTGACGAAAAGGTGGCTGAAGGGCGTATTCTATCCTCTGATCCTGAAGACTTTGTGAATGACATTCCTCTAGGACCAAATTCCGTTAAAGTCTTAGTTCAGACGGCTATAATACCCTCCGCATTTTTGTGGAGACCAGCTGGTAAGTTGACCTGTATTGAGGAAGCTGTTGGAGAAGTTATCGCTTGGCCTCAGAGATTTGATGTTCTACATGAACAAGGGTCCGAAACGGAAGAGAACGACCCTAAGGTTAGCGGTTCTGACATTGTTTTCTTTAAATTAATATGTTGTGGTGTGGACGAGATACTTTATTTACATTCTGCTTTCCATTTGTCTGACAGAGCCCAAGCACCAATCCAACGAACCTTTGTAAACTACTTGATTGGGCTACAACTGACGAAGAAGTAGTTTGTGAAGGTCGTTGGTTTGATCAAGACCCAATGGCATTGGTTAATGGATATCCGATTGGACCAAAGGCAGTGAAGGTTTTGTTGATGAGGTTGTAGTTCCTGACACGTTCCTATGGAGGCCAACTGCAGAACTCTCAACCCTAGAAGACTGCCTGAAGTCGTTTGTCGCGTGGCCTACGTCTAGGGTACTTTTCACAGAGGACAACTTCGAGACCCCTTTTCAGGACGGTCCAGTTGATCAGTCTGTTCCAACTCCATTAGCTCCTACTAAAAAAGCTCCCTCAACTTCTCAGAGTTTATCTGAACCATCCACTGGTGAACACTTGGCTCAGGTACATACAGCTTTGTTTAATGTTTTCGTTTCTTTAGATTTTCTTTGCAATTGGAGTATATTTCGACATATTATGGGTCACAACATGGCAGCAACGCACGAATGACGCTGGAAAGGAGAACCGCAAGTGCATGTTGATGGATTTGAATGGAGAGAACATCGTTGTTGCTGAAGGGCGTTGGTCTTCAAGCAACCCAGATCAGAAAGTCCATTTCACTCCATTAGGTCGACATGCGGTTTGCGTTTGGGTTGATGTGGTTAAAGTCAACGATGCAGCGGTTTGGAGGCCTTCTTCTTTTATCGAGGTTATGGAAGATGCACTTGGATCAACCTTAGCATGGCCGGAAGATAAGGTGGTAATGGTGTAGCAAGCCTTCTTTTACGTTGGCATGTAGAACATGAAGTTCTTCTTACATTTTAGTTTGATAAAACCTTATGAGTTTCAAAAAATAATGAATTGGTATGTTTGGATCAATGAATGATAAAAATTTACAGAAGTGGTTGTTCTTTTGTCGAGTTTTATAGGTTTTAAAGGAATGTGGTTGAATTTCATTGTAACATATGCGCCTATTCTACATTTAGAGCATAGGTGCCTTACTAACGCTATTGTATATATGTGCTAATAATTAAATACTAATGACATTAAATAAATGATACGAAAAACATATATGTAGTACAAATACAGAGCTACAACAAGCATTCCCTTGGCAAGAAAAATACGCTACTGCAAAGTAAACTAAAGCACAGAAAAAACGTTACAAATCTACAAATTATAGCAGTGATAATTTGCTACTAAAAACTTTATAGTAGCACAACATTAACGCTATGAACGTTAAAAATATTATAGCGCTAGGTATAAAATGCTATTGTATATACCCCCCTACTATAGCACCGTCTTTAACAGCAGTTAGTCGAGCGCTATATTAGATTCTTATAGCGTTAATATGGTGCTAACAAAGAGGACATTTCTTGTAGTGTCGTGCTAGCTTGTCCGCCTTTGTGTTCTTTGTCCTAGGAATGTGGGTCAGAGAGAACGCCTGGAACTTCCTCTTGCACTTCTCCACCTCTTCAAGCAAAATTTCAAACGTTGGCCAGTCTCTGGGTTTGGACACCATCTTCACCAAATCTGCACAGTCTGTTTGAAAATTCATTCGCCGTTTATTGTTAACTAGCATACTTTGCATATCCCACACTAAAGCCTCCAGTTCTGTCTGTAAAGGGGATAAACCCCGCCGGAGATTACAAGCCCCAACTAAAGTGGAACTTGAATCTGGGTCAAAATTGTACCAATCAAGTCCCGCACGACATTTTGATTCCTTCCACGCCCCATCTAGCTGACACCATTCTCCCAATGGTACAATACCGTAATCGAAGGCGTCAAAACGTCCACCGTTTGAGCAGAAGCCCATGCATGGGACATTATATTCTACTATAGAAACTAAATTATATTCTTTTTTTTTTTTAACTTGTAAACACATTATAACATTTAAAAAAAAAAAAGTAATCTTCTATAAAAATTTCTAACTCTATCTTTTTCATGAGCTTTCTACTATATTAATAAAAAAGTATGTTTAATATTTTTGAACTTGTAAACACATTATAAAATTTTAAATAGGAAAAATACTATTTTATGTTGAATATTTCTTTATTTCATCTCCATTTTATATCACAAATGTTTCTTTAAATTTTAACACCAAGTTATCACATACTTTATTTTAATTAATTAATGTATTTGTGTATTTTTCTTAGTTTTATTTATTTTTGAAATAGGAAGATATGTAATGAAATACGAAAAGACAAAATATTTAAAATATGATTTATTGTTTTTGTGCTGATGTAGACACTCTCAATGGAAAGAGCAACTCCCTAATTATATATAAGATATCCTTCAGATTCCTACGCTAGTATTATATTGTGATAGATTTTTTTACTAAAGATTATATTATGATAGATAAAGATATATATTTTATTTAGGGTGAATTGGTTTAATATTACTAAAAAATTTCATAATTTGAAAACTAACTATGGTTTTTAAAATTTTGAAAACTAACTTTTTTAATAAGTGAAAAGACAATAAAACCATTATCATTTCCTATTAATAATGAGAAAAAAATTCTTATTTAATTTAGATATATATTGAATTTAGATATATATAAGATATTTTCGAAAATTTGTTTATATATTTTTAATAAATATTTAAAAATACACATGTTATTTTGAAAATATATTCATATTTATCATAAAAATGAATCAAACTCTATAAATATATACACATAAATATCATTTTAGAACAAAGAAAAACTCACACTTCATTCAAAAAAAATGATGGAATGTGTTAAAGTTAACTCATATTCTATATTTATGACATGTTAAATTTCAAATAAGATCTTCTAAATATCTTTTTGTTTTCTTGTTGTAAATTTTATTCAGATTTTATGGGAATATCCACACTGAAATTTATTTTCTTCTCTTTTTTTGTTATATAAAATAAAAATAATTGTTTATAATTATCTTTAGAATAACATAATTTTTTTTACAATTTAAATAATTTTTAAATAAGATAAACGAAATTTTAAAACAATTTTAATATCTAAAAAATTGAGGGTATTTTAGTAATTTTAAATATTAGAAAGATTAGTTTACCAACATTTTAAAAAGTGGGTTAGTTTTCAAAATATGATTAATTTATGTAATATTGGTCCAAATTTCCTCTTTTATTTACTTATTATTTTTTGGTAGAATTTTGTTCAGTTAAACCTACTTAAAAGGAAGCATTTATTATAACAAAGGATTTTTGGTTTGAATATAATTTTTACTTTCAGTTAAAAAAAAACCCGATAATAAGTTTATGATATTATGTGAGAAATGAAAAAAGAATTCCCAAATCAAATCAATTAACCTCGATAGCAATATTAGTTTATATCAGTTTTGGAATTTCATTTACCATAGTGACTACTATCATTTTCTAAAACAATTGATAAACCGAAATCCGGATTAAATCAAATTATGTTTGGAGTATATATTTGCATGTTTTTTTTCCTAATCAAATCATGTATATATCCATTTAACAACATTCATTAAGGAGGACGGAGGACACATGTACAAGAGAATCTCGATTACTTCCAAATCTAAGTATTAAATCAAACTCTTTAGTTTTGTTAGAAAAAGAGACATATTTCTCATTAATTACTAGAAGAACCTATACAACCTTTGAACGCTTCAACACCCTCACAATCTCTCCTCTTCCATCACAGCGTCCATTCGTTTTTCTGAATCTGGCAGAGATCTATTTTGCCCTAAATCACTCATTCATCATCAGACTCAAAAAAAATCCTTTCACGATTTCTTGTGCCGCAAGAGAGATTCGGTTAATGTATGAGAAAACCACCAAGGAGAGGAGGAGGTGCGATGGCAATGGCGATGGAGAAGTCTAGCTCAAAGTACAGAACACAGTTCTGGTACGTCGCAATGGCTTCTTTCCTCCTCTGGCTTTTCTTGCTTTACCTTTTCAATTCCTCGGCAACAACCGTTCACAACCACGAGAGATTGTTCCGTCGAGAAAACGTCATCGATCTCGGCGTCGACGTTCCTAAACAACCTGAATCCGATCAAGCACCTCTTGTTACCTCCGTCGTCGCTGATAACAACACTGCTCTTCCTCTCTCCACCGTTGATTCTTCTCCGAAAGATCTGATTTCCGAAGACGCCAAGGTTGTGAATGATCTCGTTGAGGAACTTGAGAAAGAAACGGTAGAGAATGAGAAGAAGAGTGGTGGTGATGATTCGGTTTCCATCACTAAACCGAGGGAAGGACATCGGGATTCGCGAAAGGCGAGACTTGAAGAAGATATGAGAAGGGTTCGTCGTAGTAATGAGGATGATGAGAGCAATGTTGATGATAACAACGATTTGGAGATCAAGAAATTGTCCAATGACCTAGAAGATGATGATCACACCTCTCAAGTAGTGTCCGAGCCAAAAACTCAAAGAAATTTCGCAGCCAATAACAGCATTTCCGTGGCCAAGAACCGAGTAAGCTCAAGGAGAAGAGTCCCGAGAGTTATAGCACGACCAAGAACGCGACGTAACGATCCATGCGCAGGCAAATACGTGTACATGCACGATGTTCCAGCTTTGTTCAACGAAGAGCTTCTCAAGAACTGCTGGACGTTGAGTAGGTGGACGGATATGTGCGAGCTAACGTCGAATTTCGGTTTAGGCCCTCGTCTACAGAACATGGAAGGAGTCTCTGGTTGGTTTGCTACAAACCAGTTCACATTGGAAGTGATATTCCACAACAGGATGAAACAGTATAAGTGCTTGACCAAAGACTCGTCTATGGCTTCTGCGGTTTATGTTCCTTACTATCCCGGTTTAGACTTGATGCGGTTTCTTTGGGGACCTTTCCCTTTCATGAGAGATGCTGCGGCTCTTGATCTGATGAAGTGGCTGAGGGAGAGCCCGGAGTGGAAGAGACTGGACGGCCGAGATCATTTCATGGTCGCTGGTCGTACCACTTGGGACTTTATGCGTACACCTGAGAATGAATCCGATTGGGGTAACAGGTAAACAGACTTGATATGTCAAATGATAACGCTTTCATGTGTAGTAGTTACTATAACATTTTCAAAACGTTATTGTCTTGTTAACGTTTTCAAAGCGTTATAGTATTTTCAAAACGTTTTAAGTATTTTATTGGACAAGCTTTCTCATTATTGTTGTTTCTCTTTCTCTTTGTGCCTAGCTAGGTTAATGATCTTACCGGAGATAAGAAACATGACGATGTTACTAATCGAATCAAGTCCATGGAACTACCATGGATTCGCGGTTCCATACCCGACTTACTTCCACCCTTCAAGCAACGCAGAGATACTCCAATGGCAGAGCAGAATGAGAAGGATCAAACGTCGTTACCTATTCTCTTTCGTAGGTGCACCGCGTCCACAGCTCGGTGACAGCATAAGAACAGAGATCATGGACCAATGCAAAGCATCAAGAAGGAAATGCAAGCTTCTTGAATGCGTTTCCGGTTCTCAAAAATGCTACAAACCGGACCAGATCATGAAGTTCTTCTTGAGCTCAACGTTCTGTCTCCAACCTCCAGGAGACTCCTACACTCGCCGGTCCACTTTCGACTCCATCTTAGCCGGTTGCATACCGGTTTTCTTCCATCCGGGATCGGCTTACGCGCAGTACATATGGCATTTACCGAAAGATATAGGGAGATACTCAGTTTTTATACCGGAGAAGAGTGTTAAAGAAGGTAAAGTGAGTATAGAGAAGGTTTTGAGTCGGATACCTAGAGGGAAAGTTATGAAGATGAGAGAAGAAGTAATAAAGCTGATACCGAGGCTGATGTATTTTAATCCTTCGGGTAAGAGAGAAGACGCGGGGAGGTTTGTAGATGCGTTTGATGTTGCTGTGGAAGGAGTGTTGCAGAGAGTTGAGAGGTTGAGGAAGAGGATAGAGGAAGGTTATGAAGAGATTTTTGATTTTCCGGAGCAGTATTCTTGGAAATATAATGTGTTTGGGAATGTTAAGAGGCATGAGTGGGATTCTTACTTCGATAGGCCTTGATTGATTTGAGTGTTAGATTATGTGTTTGTGTTTTTCTTTGCAAAATTTACTGGGAGAGAAGTGAATGTAGTTGTGATTGTGATGGTAGAAAGAAGTCACGAGGCCTTAATAGTTTTGTTTGATTCACAAAGTCTCATGTGAAATCAAATGGTTGAATGGTGGAGAATGCATTGTGGTTATGATGGTAAACTATGGTTATGAAATTTTAACTGAACAAAACTTTTATGGCTGATTGGTTGTGACTGTTACCGTTTTTGAGTTACAAATTCTACTGCATAAGGCTTTAACTATACAATAATGCATGTGAGTTTTAATTGAGATAGAAAAAGTGGAACAACACACACACACACACACAAAATTGAACTGAGGTTGTCTAAAAATATTTCCAGTGCTATAAACTTATTGAAGTTTGATTAAATTCATTAATCATGTATTCTTTTGTGCATTTGTTATTGTTTTATTAGAATTAATGCTATTACTAAAGTATTAACATCAAAGCGTCTGTAGTCCAACGGTTAGGATAATTGCCTTCCAAGCAATAGACCCGGGTTCGACTCCCGGCAGACGCATTTTCTTTTTGTTCCCTAAATGTTTTTCTCCTTCTTCACAACACTCTGATTAAAAATATCACAATGTTTGATTCAACTTCAGTTTGTTGACATGTATATTTTCCCTCGTTTATATAAGAGTAGATTTATTGTTCCAAATTTTGCACTTTTCGTTTATTACAAGAAAAGAAGAAGAGAAATAGTTGACAAAATTAAAGGAAACCATAAGTTCCATTGAAAATCTACCAATGCTGCTAGTTCCCATGTTGAGAAAACGTAAAGAAGAATGAAAGGTGCTACTTTTTGAGCAAACTTAAGCGCAAGAGAGTGTCTCTCTATCAGAAGCTAGACAAGCTGTACACCAGAATCCACGCAAGCTGAAAACGTATTTCATCACAACCTCAAATCAACTTTCAAGATTAAAGAAAATCTTGTGTAGCAAAACAATGGAAGAAAAAGGAACAAACCAGGAATAGACTTAGAGAAGCGAAGAGACCGTCCTGGAGCAGAGCTGCGTGACCACCAAAGTCTTCTTCATCGATCTTTAGAATCATCGCATAGTAACCATACACTATACCAGATGAGATCGCCAGAAATCTGCCCAAATTTTACAGCCAAAGATATCACTTGTCAAGAGAAATCAACTTACAAAAACTGGCTTAAGTTAACATACAAAGGCTTTATATGTAGTGGTGATTGAAATAGAGTCAAGACTGATAAACTAATCAATGCAACAAAAAGGGATTTGAAGATGAATGAGGAGCTTACAGAAGTAGCCAAACGCCTCCAACCAAAGGAATCGCACCCCAAAGCAATCCGCAGAGTAATCCAACCACTTGCCTGATCCAATGCAACACATCTCCCAATTGATCCTAAACCAACACCAAACAACAGCAACACACTTTATAACCATTTCAGACACATAAACCGAAATCGATATTGCTTTAACTTTCCAGAAAACACTGTGGCAATCAATCAGAATTGAAGCTATATTGATCTACAAAAGCCACAGAGGATAAAGAAGTCAACTTTCTAGCTCTCAATTGATTATGCAACCAACTTCTATGGTCTAATTATGATTTAAGGCACAGAACGAGTTATATAAAGGCACAGAACGAGTTATATAACAATGTGGCAATCAATCAGGATTTTAAGCTAATCCCCAATTACGGAAACATATTCATTGTTTTTTCCAAAACAAGTTCTTAATAGTCGTAGCTATGCCTAATACTATACAGTTGATCTACAAAAAGATAAAGAAGTCAACTTTATAGCTCTCAATTTGCTTAAAGGCACAGAGAGAGAGAGACTATGGTTACCTTGTCCCAGGAAGCTTCGGAATCGAACAATTTGGCGAATTTGAAAGAACCCAAGTGACCATTTTGGTGGTAACTCTGTTCATGCTGATCCTGCTGATTCAACTTCGCCGATTTCCCTTCTTTCATCTTTTCCGATTCGATTTCCAACAAAACAATCACAGATTCGATGCCAAAAACCCAGCTCACGAGATCGGATTCAGTAGCAAAACCCTGCACACGACTTGAATCGGCCGAATCTAGGGTTCTTACTACTTACCGATAATAGCTGAGATTTTTGCTTATGAGTTTCTGGATTTCTGTGATTAAGATCTACGACCCACAGGAGAAAAAATAATATTTTTGTTTTTAATATTTATCAAGTTTCTGTGCCAGTGCCACGCACGTGACAACAATAATCGAGCTGGAAAAACAAATACAAAATTTTTTTTTTCCTTCTTGACTTTATTTTTGTCTTATTTGTTCTAAGTTTTATAACTTGGACTAATCTAAGAAAGTGAAATTAATCAAGATCATGCCTGGTCTCCTCCAACAATGTACATGATGGTCTTGTTTCCATTTCTTGTGTCTAAACCACAACACACGACCTTTTTCTTCTCCTCGTCCAGCAAGAAACTCACCACCGCCATACCTTTGCCCAAAGTGTTACTGAAATCCATTACTAGAAAATATTGGATATAGGTCGTACCTTTGGCCTCATCGATCTTATTATCGGTCACCCATATCTTCAGATCTCTTGACGAATCAATATTACGCCTCTCAAATAACACAGCAAGTTTCTCTTCTCTAACCACTGAGAGAAACACTGTACTTCCGTAACCACCATCCGGAAGAGAAAAACGTTCAAATCTCTCTCCTTTGAAATCAAACCTGAGCAAGAATTGACTATCGTTATTCTGTGTCGATCACAAGCAACCCAGTAAGTATTTCCCTTCAAAGACACGCCACGACTAGTTATCATCCAGCGCCAGGAAACTGTTAAACTGCTTTGAGCGTCTTCAGCAAGAAGTCTCCATGAATCAGTGTTAAATCATACAACTCAAACTCCATAACCGGGACGTTATCGTAATGCTTTCTACACCTCAAGATTTTGAAGCTATCGCAAGAATAGTTGTTCTTGTTGTTTCCGTAACCTAGAGCATACGAGTCGTAAACTAAGTGACCACTCCTGGGTTGGATCCGGATCCACCTGGTTTGACCAGTACAAGGGTTCCAAACCACGATTCTTTTGTCTTTGGTGGTACACAAAAACAAACCCTCGCAATGAAAGATGGCATGTATCATCGTCTGTTCTGAATCCTTTAGAATGGATGGATCAAATCTCTGGTCCTTGTTGTCGTTGATTCCATGGAAATCTATATTCACTGAATAAACACCAAAGTCTTTCTTTAAGATAAAATGCCTTGCTGCTTTACCTGAATGCTTCTCGATGAATCTAGGGTTTTTGAATAAAGCATACCATCGTCTACAAGCATATCGGAATTTGGTTAGAGATGTGGCCGGAACCCTAGAGAGTATTTTCCATTCCAATACTCGTGGGAGATCGGGAAATGTCATTGTTTATCTTTTGTGATCTCCCTCAAGCAAGAAAGCGTCGGCACTGAAAAGAGAAATGAGGGTTCTAGGTTTTTGACATCAATCATTATCATGTAGGAAATCAGCTGAGAATGAAAACTTAGGGCCTGACTGGTTTAACCGTTGTGGTTGCGTTGCGGTTGCGGGTGCGGGAGTTTGCGGAAGCGGGCGGTTGTGATTAGTAGCGTTATTAAGCGGTTTGTACGACTGGCATAACAATTGAAAATGGATGCGTTTGCGGGATACTTATGACTGGTTCACTTGCGGATGCAATAGCGGTTAAACAATAAATTAATAATATAAACACATTATATAATTATAAAAATATCAAAACTATATTATAATGAAAATTTTAAATTTATGGTTCAACATAATTAAAAATAATTTTTTATAAAGAATAATATGTGTATAATACTTACGTCTATCTTTTAATTTCTATAATTTAAATAAAAATGTGATTTTATTTTCAAAATATATATTTAATGTGAAAATTAAATTTATTTTACAATTTTATTTATTAGATATATATGTATTAGTATGAAAAGAATATTTATCAAGAGAATTTTGATTTGTAGAACTTATAAATATATAAGTATTATATGATTTTAATGAATATTGACTAAAAGTACTAATTTTTTATTTATATTGTGATTTTATTATCCAAATCTTATTTTTTAATAAATATTATTATTTATTTTCGGATTTTATATAAGTTTGTTTTTTTTTTTTTTTTTTTATCAACCGCCCGCAACCGCAAACGCTTGCGGAAAGGAGCTTTTGATTTTCAGGATTGAGGATCTTGAGCGGTTAAGTGGTATAAAGCGTTTTGGTGATTGTTGTCAAACGCCAATAACCGCTACTACCGCAAACGCTGCGTTTGCGGTAGCAGGGAGAACCAATCAATACCTTAATCTAACGGTTTAGATGATTCTTTTTTGATCCAATGTCTCTCTTAAGTTGCTACTTAAATAGTAAATTGTTAATACTTCAAAAAAAACAAAAAAAACAAAAAAAACAAAAAAACAATACGATGTGAAATGATGAATGAGTTTCACAATATTGCCTGAATGATGAATCTCTTTACAAGTATATTGAACCTATAGATCAAACCTTAAAGCTCACCATCAAACCTATGCGAGGAATGTCATTAGTCTGAGCCAAAATTTTGTGTATAACTCTTTGTATCCAAAGATAAAGACTTTCATATATATACACAACAGAGCCAAAGAAAAAAATCGTTGCGATTTCACTGAGTTCATGTCTTTGCATTACTTGGATTTGCTCTCAATCACCTCGTAAGCAAGCATCAATGATGACTTCCCAACCTATTTCAAGGCTGTTTCTGTACTGAGATCAAAAGTAAACAAAAAAACTGAAACTAAAGTCTCTTAGCATGTCCTAAGATTGATTAGTCAACAAATGAAAGACACTACTCATACCTGGCTGCAATACACCAAGAATTGAGAGTATACTAGGTTTAGAGAACCATATCTTTCTCTTACAGATTCTTGCTGATTCCCAAATAAACCGATGACACAGTTTCAGAAAAAGACAAAGCTCAAGAACATACAATTTACACAACAAATTAGCCACAGGAAAGGAGATAGATTGAGGGAAGTGATTATAACCTCAATGGTAGTTTCATCTGTAACATTAAGCTTTTGTATCAAAAGTCTTTCAGAGAATCGCTTCTTTACATCAAAGAGACTTGTTTTTAGATTTTAACTGCCATCTAAGGAATATATTTATTCCACTTTCTGACAATCCTATTTTTTAACAAGAAAACTGAAATAGTGAAATCTCGTTTACGATCATTTGGTTAAAGAGAAATTGGTATATATAACAAATCAAAATAACACCTTCCTGAGAAGTCGATAGTACTAACAGTTAGTACTTACAATAATACAATAATGAAACCATTTCACCAAAACCATTTCTTACGCTCACAAACTTGACAAAGCTTTAGGTATTTAATAGAGAAAACAAAAAAAACATGATGATATTCTAAAAAATATAAATTGAGGAATTTAAAAAACAAAAAGAAAAAACAAAGAAACCTTCGAAAACTTCAAAGTCATTGCATTTTTGGTTAATAGCTGATGCATAGTCCACAATTTTAGTAGAGCTTTTTCAAACTTCACTGATCGGGTATTTGTAATTCTGGTTGATGACCCTACAAATATATCAACAACATAAGAATATTGGAATGTAATTTTATATTAAGAATGGTTCAAAACTGATAAGAGAAGTCTTCTGCATTATTTGAGCTTGAATAACAAAGAGATCATACCTCTAAGGTTACTGGTCTGGTCGCTCGTTTGGTACAAGCCACAATAATGTAGCGTGGTTGTATGCAACTTTATCAGTGATAAGATCTTATTAGCTAAATGTTTAATGGTGTGGTGTGGTGTGGTGTGGCTCCCTAGTCGATATAACAGCCACCAACTCGTCAATGTCATATTCGAAAGCAAGGAAGGTGAACCCTAAAGATTGGAAAAGAGATGTCAGATTTTTCAAATACAGTAAAATGTAGAACAACTACCAAATCAAAATATATCAGATTTTGTCAACCAAGTTTTTGATAATAATTATATTGAGAGCCAAAAGTTTGATGATCATGTCAAATACA